TATAAACCTGTTTTTTTTTTGTTTATATACCGTTATTGAATTATCGCTAAGCAAGTTACTGTGGAGCAGTGCATAAGGAGTCGGGCTAGGAAGCGAGAGACCGGAGTTCGAATCTCGGCCGGAACATAACTTTTTATTTATTTTTTAAATACTGTTGTAGGTATTCTATAGTTTATTTTTGTAGTATAAAAAAAGAACTATTTATTCTGTTATTTTTTAATCTCCGTTATTAATATAAATTGATTGTTAGTACAATACCTCATTTAATATAAAATAATATTCTACTTTTTGAAATGTATCGGGCCCTAATTGTACCTAAAAGTAATATATTTTTAGTGATATACCATATTGTAAACTATTTAATATTTCAGTCACTTAAAAAGTTAATTTGCTTGAATAATTGCCTACCATTAAAGGAAATTTGAGCTATATAATCCTTGATGGGCATATTCTGGGTATGCAAATACTTCCTTTAAATTTTGGGTGTCGTTCAACCGATTTATTCTCAAAACCAGAAACTTCTACATATAAAAAGAAGCAGAGGTCACTAATTATAATAAACTTCACCCTTGGTATTACTTCCACTAATTATAATAAACTTCACCCTTAGAATTACTTCTATCACAATTACAATACGTTCATCTGCATTGGCATTTTCTACTTTTCGATGGGAAACAATAAACTTCCCAATATTTTTTAAATGATGTAACAATTCCTCTTGTGGTTACTTTTCCATAGATATCCTCAACTCTGTCCTCATGTGAATTCAGAGGCAATGAAAATGAAAATTATTTACCATAAACATCGCAAACTAAAAACCTAATAAACAATTTTATACCGAATATAGAAATAAATTCAGTATTCTTACCTATCGTCCAAATCCATGTTAATAGATAATTATTATTTTTAAATATATTTTTGGAACTGCTGGTTTTAGTAATTATTAAATTAAACGAACTAAAAAGTCTTAAAATAAACAATTCTTAACCATAACCTCAAAAATGCAGATCTCCTGTCAACTTTCTTTATTTTTTATTTATTCATTATTTTCCTAGTGACGTCACAGGTGGTATGCGCGAACTGAACGAAATTGGAGCCGCTATCGATCATACCTTGTATTCTTTGTACCATGGGCTTGGTAGGGTTTATATAAACAAACAAAATACATGAAGCAGAAAAGGGGCCAAAAACCCTACATAAATGCTTATTCTCCGCATTAAGTTCATCAGACTGAAGGGAACAGCGATTCGACGACCGGTTTCGAGATTTATCTCCATCGGCAGGCCGACTTTGCTGTAACTCAATCTGACAAACGAAAAGCAGAGAATAACATTTGAGTACAAAACGTACTACTATGGCGAGTGCTAGACGCTCTCGCTATCTAGCGGCAGCTGTGACAATCACAGATCGTACCGCCAAAATTAAAACCAGCGGCCTACTGGACATACATGCTTGCTTCATCCACGTTACCGTAGATGGAGCTGAAGGCTTGGTAGGCTTTATATAAACAAACAAAATACAAGAAGCAGAAAAAGGGGCCAAAAAAACTACATATATGCTTATTCTCTGCATTAAGTTCATCAGACTGAAGGGAACAGCCATTCGACTACCGGTTTCGGAGATTTATCTCCATCGTCAGGCCGACTTTGCTGTATAGTAGTACGTCTTGTAGTCAAATGCTATTCTCTGCTCTTCGTTTGTCAGATTGAGGGTTACAGAAAAGTCGGCCTGACAGTTATCCCCTTCAGTCTGATGAACTTAATGCAGAGAATAAGTACAGTACGTCTGCTGGGTCTGTGTCTACGAAAGGAATGCGGACAAAAAACATTTAAATAAACAGCAATATATTTTATACGTCGACTTGACGAGTACATCACCGCAAATCGCTCCGCCCACTCATTTTATTGGCTACTTGCAAATTTGTCGAATTTTTATTGATGGGACGCGTCGTCTAATTTTTTACGAAAAACATTGAGAGAATATCTCTCACGGATACTCCGTAGGTACAGAACGAACAGACGTACTGCATATATGTAGGGTTTTTTTGGCCCCTTTTTCTGCTTCTTGTATTTTGTTTGTTATTATTTATTTTTTCAGACTGTGTTTCGGAGGATAAATTTAATAAGAGGACCGGAGTAGAGGATGACTCTATACATCCACAATCTCTAAGTTGGTATAGCTAAGTTGACTATTTTGATTAGATACCTTTTTCTGGCATGTTTATTTTTATTTTGTATCTAATGGCAATTTTGTTCCTATTTTCGTTAGGCTCAGAATTCCAGTAAGGTTCTTCTAGGCAAGAAGAGATGGCAATGAGTATCTTACATACATAAGTTCTGTTTTGTGACTTTTTATTAACCTTTATAATAAATATTCTAATTATAAACACGTATTCTATTAAATTTATTAATATTTACTAACGCCTTGTGAATTTACAAAAGTAATTGTAAATTTGCTGTTTCTCTATAGTAATAGTACAAGAAGTTCTAAAGGATAAATTTACAATGAATAAGTAAATTTACTATAAGATACACATTTTTCACATAAATTCACAAAGAATATTGGTGATTGTAAAGATATATTATACCATATTACATGCAACAAATTAGCCGTACAGCGATTACAAACGAGTTGTAAAATTAAAGAGCGGGTCGTAAATTTACTAACCTAATTGAACCTAACCTAATCTGTGGCAAGAAATAACCATCAATATTGTTACTAACTTCACAAATTATTTTTTTTAGTATAGGCCACATTACCTATGAAACTGATAACAATGATTGATTACCATTTCTATATAATTACCTGGAATGTGATATCTTTAGAAAAAATACTACTACAAACAGATATATTCTTAATGAGTCTTATCATAGTGTTGAACGTAAGATGGCTGATTTAAATTTCTTAGTTCATAGACTACTTACCAATGAAAGATATGAAATAGAAATAAATTACATTAGGAATGTAGCCGAGTGTAATGGATATTCTCCTTCATTAGTTGATGAAATAATTTGAAAACGTAGATATATAGGATAAGTTTGCGATCTCTGCAAATTCGATTTTTCAAGTGGAGAGAGATACATCAAAATATATTTCAATACCATTTGTGATAGAGAGTTATCCCGTGGTTTAAAAAAAATAAGAATGTCAATAATAATTATAAACTGGCCTATAGTGCTAATAATAAATTACCTAGTATTAGGTAATCATAAAGATAAAAACCTCTGCTGGAAAAGTCGGGTATTTATGAAATTTTATGTAAAGATTGTAATCAGAAATATTTTGGGCAAACTAGAAGATCAATATTAACTAGATTTAAAAATCTATAGCTCAGATAAAATATGGTATACACTGGCTAAATCTTGCGTTGCTCGACATATTGTTGATTGTAGACTTTTCTATAGATACTCAGAATTTAAAATTAGTTAAACAAGTCTCAAATTACAGGCAATTAGATGAATATGGAAGCGTCAAAACTAATAAATGTAAAGACAATATGAACATAGATAATGGTCCAATTCCTTCCAGTTCTTTGTTCCTTTAGCTCTAGCCTCGGTAATTAATTGTTTTGACTCGTTTGGATAGTTTTGACAAGCTTGATCAGTACCAACTAAGCCTCTATACAGGGTGTCATTGAAATGGTGTAAAAAATCTCTCTAAAAAACTCCTAAAAATAGTAAAAAAAGTTCCTATAAGTATAGGGCGAAAAATGCGTATTAAGGGAGTTAGGGACACTGAAAGGGTGAATTTAAAAAACGGTTGTTTTAAAATTGTAGGCTTAAGAAACGAGATAAAATTTCGAAAAAAAATCCTCTGCCATAAATTTTGACCCTAAATCAAATGATGATACTGAAAGATTATTTGGAAAAGCGGAAAGGGTAGTTTTTGCAAGGGTAGGAGGTTGTTTTGTGAATAACTATTTTGAGGTTATTTATTTTGCAACGTGGGTTCATTTTTTGAAAACTACATACTTTTTCCTACAAGAAAGGTACCCTTGTTGCACATCGCCCAGAGGCAAAGAGTTTGCTCTGATGGGTTGCTAACTGATTAATCAACATAAACTTACGAAAGTTGTGGCGGTTAAAAAGTAACTAAGTAGTTATTAAATAATTAATTAGAAAACCAAAATTTCATAATTTTTAAAACATCTTATTGCTTTAACAACGAAATAAACTTTTTTGGTTTTAAAAAAATTTGGTTTACTCAGTGCCGATTAATACTGAAGAGCAACTACGGCAACGCATTATTGACTGTTCCAATCAAATTCGGACAAAACCAAGGATATTCCACAGGGTACGCAGATCGTGGAAAAGATGATCAGATGTCTACATTGAAATGAATGGTGGTCACTTTGAACATTTACTGTGAATGAATTAAGGAATTCATTATTTTAATAAGGAATTTTGGTAATTGGATTATTTCGTTTTTTAAAGCAATAAGATGTTTTAAAAATCATGAAATTTTTATTTTTCAATTATTTATTTGATAACTACTTGGTTACTTTTGAAACTCCGTAACTTTCATACGTTTATGTTGATTAACCAGTTAGCAATCCATTAGAGCAAACTCTTTGTCTTCAATTTTCTCGAAAACCATCACTCCAGGCGATGTGCAACAAGAGTATCTTTTTTGTAGGAAAAAGTATGTAGTTTTCAAAAAATGAACCCACGTTGCAAAATAAATAACCTCAAAATAGTTATTCACAAAACAACCTCCTACCCTTGCAAAAACTACCCTTTCCACTTTTCCAAATAATTTTTCAGTATCATCATTTGATTTAGGGTCAAAATTTATGGCAGAGGATTTTTTTTCGAAATTTTATCTCGTTTCTTAAGCATACAATTTTAAAACAACCGTTTTTTAAATTCACCCTTTCAGTGCCCCTAACTCCCTTAATATGCATTTTCCGCCCTATACTTATAGAAACTTTTTTTACTATTTTTAGGAGTACTATCACTCCCCGATTTTTTTACACCATTTCAATGACACCCTGAGATGACATGGCACTGGCTACACAACATCAGTCCTTGGAAACAGGCGGCAACCAGCTTATGCGAGATCTTGAAATACTGCATGCATATTACAAGAAATGGTGCCTTAAGCCCAACCCGCTAAAATCGGAAACTGGGGCATTTCACTTGTCGAATAGGTTAGCTAAAGAGGAACTGAATGTATATTTTGGGGGAGAAAGAATTAGACACAACCAATGCCCAACATATCTGGGTGTCATGTTGAACAGGACTTTATCCTATAATCAGCACATTACAAAAACCGCACAGAAAATTAAATCCAGAAATAATATCTTGAGTAAACTCACAAGAACTTCGTGGGGTGCGGATGGGAACACACTCAGAACTGCCGCGCTGGCTCTAACTTACTCGGCGACAGAGTACTGTGCACCGGTATGGTACACACACACCGGTATACACCACACGTATAAAATCGACGTGCAGCTCAATGAAGCTATGAGAGTTGTAACTGGGACATTAAGATCAACCCCAACAGTATGGCTCCCGATCCTGGCGAATATTGCCCCCCCTCAAATTCGCAGAACAGCTATGGCAAAAAAGGAGTGGATGAAGGCTTCCACCCAAGACGGCTTACCTATTCAACTGTCTATCAATCCTCCTCCTTCTAAGCGCCTCAAATCTCGCAACCCAATCTGGATGGACGACGAACTTAAGAGCGAGTACAATATGCACTCCAAATGGAACGAGCTTGTGGCTAACAGTCTGGGAACACGCAACTTGAACTTAGTTGCCGATATATCGGGTGCCCTCCCGGGCATGGACCTTCCTCGTTATACCTGGAGTCGTCTAAATCGTTTTAGGGTGGGTCATGGCAGATGCCGTGATATGCTTCATAAATGGGGAATTGAAGACTCACCAGCGTGCGACTGTGGCGCCCCACGACAAACGATGGAACACATTCTGACCGAATGCCTTTCCTGGGGGCATCCAGAACTTATTTTGCGCTACTTCTTCGGCAATTTACTGGATAAATGACCTCAATATAAATGTTTAATGTAAATTTTGTTCCTGACTACATATATGTTTTATATATACTTGTAATATTTTTAAGTCCTTATATTTCTCATGCATGTTTTCTTTTTTCTTTTACAACTATTTGTTTGTTTATATATGCTTATCTCTGTGTATGTTTATAGAATGTATTCACATATCCTGTATTTGTGCTTCTCATACGAAATAAATAAATAAATGACACCCTGTATAAACACTCAATTTGTAGATATTAGTTTAGTTTTAATCTTCTGCTGATTATGCTAACTATTCTGCTGATTATGCCAACATAAAAATTTGTTTTGGTGTATTGCAGTGACTTAATCTTTTAATTTGGTGTTGTAATACCAAAGGTTCCAAACCCTAACTGTAAGAATATAAAGCATGTACTAAAAATATATTTCATAGTTATGTTGTCCTATATTCATTTTGATTATGTAAACACACTCACTTAAGATATAAGGAAAATCTAGTTAAATGTTCAAAGCCTGTAGCGGCGTATACGCAAAGTAACTTCTCAATCGGTAAATCACAGTGTGTTAGCTAAACTATCTGTTATACCACTTGAAAGTGCATGTCAACCGTATTTACGCGAAGATAAATATTGTGGCGCGAAGCATATGTCATGCAATTCGTTCCTCGTATCAGCAGATGTTGCTGGAAGCACATAAGTCACTTTACCTCGTTCCAACCAGAAGACGGTACATAATATGTATTTATTATGCACATGCACCATTCCATATTTGTTTTGATAACATAATATTATAATGTAATTTAATGACATCATAAAATATTGCATAACTCTTCATACTATTTTTAGCCGACTATACCAACAGGTATGGTAGGTGGTAGGGGCTATTAAGATCGGCAAAAAAAAAAGTTTTTTTTAATTTCACTCACACAAAATGAGTTATTTTGGTCATAAATGACCTAAATACAAAATATTTTCATGGTGTTTGTCTGTCTGTCTGTATGTCCGCCTGTCTGTAACACGATAACCCGAGAATCTGGCCATTAGTTTTTGGTGGGGGTGGGGGGTTGGTAACGGGGTATGGGAGGGGGTTAAAAATTTTAGAAAATCGTAACTTCAAAATTACAGAAGCTCGCGAAACGCGGTTTTCAATTTAAGATTGGGAATAATATTTGCAACAAAATTTCTAATAACACCAAAATCAGTCAAAGTCGCAGTTTTTGAGATAAAAAAAATGGAAAAATTCCTTTACTTTGAAACTAAAAGAACTGCCTACCAACTTTTTATTAACATATTTTAGTATCCCGGCGCCAATTTTTTCTATTTCTATTACCTACTAGTTTAGGAAATTTGCCTATATCGTACCTGCGCCTAAATCGTAATTTTTCAATATCTGGTCCATAATACTAAAAGCCTGTATTATTATCTATGGTCTTTTTCAAATAGCGCCAGTGCTTCAAGTAATAATACTTAAATCAAAGATTCTGTTTACCTGATGTGCTCTAATATTTCGATGATTTTTGGTTTGGTTAGGTTAAGTGATTTTGTATGCTTTAAGAGAATATTAATTATTTTCTCAAATTAGGAGAATTTTAGATGATGTAACCCAAACAGTACCACTGTACGAATATACGTACCAATAAAAGAAAAGGTGTGTGCACAATGTGCGCATATTTGAAATGAAACTTCTTTTTACTTCCATCTGCCTGTCTGTCTGAGGACTCCGTTCGGGTACCAAACCACGTGCCGAGATTGGTTCCAATCGACCCATAATTAAGAAAAATCCTGATGATTTCGTCCATTTAGAGGTATCGCGCATCGGTTCAAAACGTCGAAGATGTCATCCTGTAACCCATCCCCAATTATGCCGAAATTGACCCACATTTTTTTTCAATATCAAATCCTTAGTCGCACCCTGATGAAGACGTAAACGAAACATCGTATCCAACTTTGCAAGGTGGGACAGATGGAGAAATTTGGTCGCGATCGGACGACGTCAACTTTTGAAGTTTTTTACGTCAAAACTAACTGTCACAGTGACCCATAAAAAATGTATTTAAATCGGACGAATTTTTTATTTGATTCAGTGTTGATGGGGTTTCGTAATGTACGAAACGTTGTCAAAGTATCATGAAAAGATGGATCTCTTGGAGTCACATCTCCATTCCGAGTTTCGGCCCTTTAGCTCACATAGGGCCCGAGTTACGACGCTCCAAATACCCATTTTAAGGTATCAGTTCCATACTTTTTATTGTACAATTTGTATCATTACGAAAGTTTTATTTTAAGAACTTGTATCTTTTTAAAAAGGTAATAGATTTAATTAGGAGGTGAAAGAATAAATAAATATCAGCAAATTTTTAACAGAGCTGCTACAAATGTAAGAACAACGTACTTGACAATGTACTTCTTGACAACGCTGTTTCCTTGTTGACTACGCTTCAGTCCGTCCGCCAAAAAAATGTATGAAAGGAAAGGATATGAAACGCGGAAGGGAAAGGGATCGGATAGTGTGCATTGTCCCATTCATTTACATTATATAACATTTTTTGTAAACGGAAGGGAGCTGATGCGGAAGGTGTAGTGAGAATCAACCTTAAATCGGACAATTTTTTCTCCATTGATGATGGGGTTTCATAGTGCACGAAGCGTCGTCAAAATATCGAGCCATCTCAACTACAACTACTACAACTCATTGGCTTTTCACTTTTTTGATGTTTAGCATTTTTCCTGACGCTAGTTCGTGTGTCACGGCTTTGAAATTTTACTCCCAGCGCCAAGAAAGGAGTTGTACTTCAAAAATGGAACCATTCAAATTTAAATAACACAAATAAAATTTGATGCTATTTACCTGTAAACTTCATGAAATATGTCTATACAGGGTGAGTCTTAAATAAGTGCAAATATTTTCAGAGCTGATAGATCTCGATAAAAGAAACATATTTTCTCTTTACCAGTTTTCAAATAAGTCCAAAATAACCGAATTATTTAAGATTGAAAATTAAAAAAATTAAATTTTTTTGGCAAAATTGTAAGAGCCACCGGATTTTTTCTGTATTTGTATCCCTTTTAGTACCGTATTAACCATGGAGAAAAACCGTAACTATGGTAATATCAGAGATTAAGAAATTATACCGTGGAAAAATTTGCGGCGAACAGGCAGTTCTAAAAAGTTTTCGAAAAATATACAGGGAAATTTAAAAGAAAATGCACGATTTTCAACATCTTTTTTGCGAAAATAACCTCAAACGTGTTCCTGGGGTCGAAAAATACCACCCCTGAAAATATTTGCACTTACTTGAGACTCACCCTGTATAATTTCTAATTAGTTAGACGTCAAAATGATATGTATACTCTAATTAAGATATCATAGTTGTATTTTCATTCAATAAAGATGTATGTAAAAATATATGGCTGTAATGGCTCAGTTAATTTATTTTGACACATAATAATACGTAATCACAACCTAGCTAATTATTTTCCTATAGTATATTATTTACCTTAAAGAGAGCTGACGCATAATGAACAGGATAATAATCTTATAAATATGAATTAGCTCTAAAAATTATTATTAATTGATTGAAGTACTTCAAGTTGGTGTAAATTAGTTTCTTGATAACTGTTAAAAGTGATTGTAAAAAAAAATATCAAAAAACAATCTTAATATTAAAAACATAATGTATGTGACTATTAATTGCTTCTTTGATTTTTCATACAACACTACGTATTACAAATCTTAGTAAAAAAATAACCCCTTAATTAAATTAAATTTTAATTACCCCTTAAAAATAATTTTAATAATATACAAGGTGTTTCAAAAAACATGTGCCATCTCTCGTGGGGAGATTCCTCACGTAAAAATAAGATTTACTTCTTAATCAACAGAGGTCCGATTCTGCTTTTTTAAATAATTAATAATAAAAAAAGATCTTAACCCCCTGTAGCTACGAAACAAAGCAGAATCGGAACTTTTTTGATATAAAAAATAAATATTTTTAAGTGAAGAAAGTGAAGAATCTCCCCACGAAAGATAGCATATGTTTTTTGAAACATCCTGTATAGACAGTTAAATTATTTTGTAGCTAACTAGGTACAATAAAACAGTAAATCTATAAAATAATAATCATTAGTTCTTTTAATTGTTATTTTAGAGCTCTATAATCGTTTACCTCATTACCTAATGTAATTTTGCTTTTAAGTAGTACTTTTTCTATATTGCAGTAACAGTTAGACGATATTGAGAGCGTTTAAACCTTAATGTTCGAAAAAAGAGTACTTGTAGTACTCTACCGCTCAAAAGAGTCGTTTTGCCGTTATACCAAACCAGATTTGATACAGATTGCCAACGGACAAGCTGAGCGTTAATAAGACACATTTTGTGTCGTAGCGTTTATGCGATGCAATTAGACACAAAGATTGATTGAGCGGTTAAAAGGTTTTTGTTACATTATTATTATCAGAATTCACACGAAAATATATTTTTAGAAATTTGTAATCATCAAATTCCTATATACAATGTACAGGGTGTCCCACTAAGAATAGCTCTCGGCTGTATCGCGGAAAGTATTAGCCGTAGCGGCTCCGAAAAAAAAATATATATAAATAAGGAGGGCTATGGGAAATTGCTGGAAATTATTTTCAAGTTTGTAGAACGACCGCTAGGGGGCGCAACTGCAACAAAAAATAAGAAAATAAGTTTTTACACAATTTTGCCTAGATAAGGTATACTGTAAAGTAACAGCTTCATAATCTTCAGTAAATTTTGAATATTTTTTGTTAGAGCCATTTTCCCCTATCTACCAAAATAAAGTGGTGGGGGAAGGTTAGATCTGTTTTTATTTGAATATTAATAACTCTGGACTGGATGGCCGGAATCCAACAAGCGAGGGCTCGTTTAAAAGAGCGTCTCTTACTCTATATTGTACCATATAAACAATAATAATAAGTTTTTGAACGTAGACGCTAGGGGGCGTTGTCTTACTATTTAACAAACATTGCGCGTTTTTTTAAAAAA